AGAAGGCTGAGTGCAGAAGAATTGATGCTTTTGAATTGTGGTGTTGGAGAAGACTCTTGAGAGTCCCTTGGACTGCCAGGAGATCCAAGCAGTCCATCCTAAAGGAAATCAGTCCTGGGTGTTCATTGGAAGGACTGATGTTGAAGCTGTAACTCCAATATTTTGGCCATCTGATGTGAAGAGCCGATTCATTGGAAAAGACCCTGATGCTGGGAAAGATTGAAGGCAGGAGAAGAAGGGGATGACAGAAGATGAGATGGTTAGATGGCATCACTGACTCAATGGACATGAGTTTGGGTAAACTCTGGGAGTTGGTGATGGACAGGGAGGCCTGGCATGCTGCGGTTAATGGGGTCGCAAACAGTTGGACATGACTGAGCAACTGAGCTAGAACTGGAACTTCCAGAGTAGATGTGTTCATGAGACTAGAAGCTGTTCACACTTCATACTGCTGGGATTTTATAGAGACTTCTTCACATAAGCATGATCAATAACTGATTCAGTTTCTAGCCTCTCACTCCTCTCTTGAGGATGAGCACTAGAGCTGAAAATGCCAAGCTTCTAATCATGGCTTCTTGCCCTGCATACAGTTTTCTCAGGAGGCAGGTAAGACGGTTTGGTATTCCCAACTCTTTAAGAGTTTTCCAGAGTTGGTTGTGAGCCACACAGTCAAAGACTTTGACATAGTCAATAAAGCAGAAGTAGATTTTTTTTTTGGATCTCTCTTGCTTTTTCGATGATACAACAGATGCTGGCAATTTGATCTGTGGACCATCTGCCTTTTCTAAATCCAGCTTGAACATCTGGAAGTTCATGGTTCACATGCTGCTGAAGCCCACTTGGAGAATTTTGAGCATTATTTTGCTAGTGCGTGAGATGAGTGCAATTGTGCAATAGTTTAAACATTCTTTGACATTGCCTTTCTTTGGGATTAGAATGAAAACTGACTTTTCCAGTCCTTTGGCCACTGCTGAATTTTCCAAATTTGTTGGTATATTGAGTGTAGCACTTTCACAGAATCAATTTTTAGGATTTGAAATAGCTCAGCTGTAATTCCATCACTGCCACTAGCTTTGTTCACAGTGATGCTTCCTAATGCCCACTTAACTTTGCATTCCAGGATGTTTGGCTCTAGGTGAGTCATCACACCACCGTGGTTATGTGGGTCATTAAGATCTTCTTCGTATACTTCCTCTGTGTATTCTTGCCACATCTTCTTAATATCTTCTGCTTCTGTTAGGTAAATACCATTTCTATCCTTTATGACCTCCTGAGAAATCTATATGCTGGTCAAGAAGCAACACTTAGAACTGGACATGGAACAACAAACTGGTTCCAAGTTGGGAAAGGAGTACACTAAGGCTGTTTATCATCACCCTGTTTATTTAATTTATATGCAGAGTGCATCATGCAAAATGCCAGACTAGATGAAGCACAACCTGGAATCAAGATTTCAGGGAGAAATATCAATACTGAAAGACATGCAGATGATACCACTCTTATGGCAGAAAGTGAAGAGGAACCAAAGAACTTCTTGATGAAGGTGAAAGAGGAGAGTGAAAAAGCTGGCTTACAGCTCAACATTCAAAAAACTAAGATCTTGGCATCTGGGCCCATCACTTCATGGCAAATAGATGGGAAAAAAATGGAAACAGTACAGACTTTATATTCTTGGGCTCCAAAATCACTGCAGATGGTGACTGCAAACATGAAATTAAAAGATACTTGTTCTTTGAAAGAAAAGCTATGACAAACCTAGACAGCATATTTAAAAAGTAGAGACATTACTTTGCCAACAAACGTCCTTCTAGTCAAAGCTATGGTTTTTCCTGTCATCATGTATGGATGTGAGAGTTGGACCATAAAGAAAGCTGAGTGCTGAAGAAATGATGCTTTTGAACTGTGGTGTTGAATAAGACTCTTGAGAGTCCCTTGGACTGCAAAGAGATCCAACCAGTCCATCCTGATCAAACTAGGCAATCCTAAAGGAAATCAATCCTGAATATTCATTGGAAGGACTGATGCTAAAGCTCCAACATTTTGGTCACCTGATGCAAAGAACTGACTCATTAGAAAAGACCCTGATACTGGAAAAAATTGAAGGCAGGAGAAGAGGATGACAGAGGATAAGACAATTAGATGGCAGCACCATGTCAATAGACATGGGTTTGAACAATCTCCAGGTATTGGTGATGGACAGGGAAGCCTGGTGTGCTGCAGTCCATGGGGTCACAAAGAGTCAGACATGATGAGTGATCAAGTTGAACTGCACTGAATCATGGCTTGGACTTCTCTGTGACTAGTGCCCATCCAGGAGCCCATCCAGTTAAGAGATGCTCCTCGAGCTCTCATCATTTAGTGATGTACAAGGTTTCAGTAGTCTTGTGTTAGTGGCAGGTCAAAGACCAAGCACTGCAGAAAGAGATCTCTTTATGTTCTTACCATATAAAGAAAAAGGAGAATTCATATTGAAGGAACAGATAGCATTTTTCTATATACCTGATTTCGAAGGCTTTAAGCTAAAACATTGTGTTGGCCAAAATGTTCATTCAGTTTTTTCCATAAGATGGCTTTAGTAAAAATAGAACTTATTTATCTTTAACTTCATTTGAAACAATCTTGTGAGATTGTATTGGGATAGCTATCATACCAGCATGCATTAAAAAAAAGGTTTTTCAAAATTGATGCATTTGTGTCATCATTTTAGTATTGAACATGGAATAAAAAAGCAGTATTTACAGAATACTATGCTTTATTAATTCAAGAAAGGTTAAAATGCAACTGAAACTAAAAAAAGAAAAAAGAACTTGTGCAGTGTAAAGAGAAGGTGCTGTGACTGATCAAATGTGTGAAAAGTGGTTTGTGAAATCTTGTGGTAGAGATTTCTTCACAGACAATGCTCCACAGTCAGGTAGACCACATGAGGTTGATAACATCAAACTGAAGCATTAATTGAGAGCAATGAATGCCAGACATCCTGGAATGTGAAGTCAAGTGGGCCTTAGGAAGCATCACTACGAACAAAGCTAGTGGAGGTGACAGAATTCCACTTGAGCTATTTCAAATCCTAAAAAATGATGCTATTAAAGTGCTGCGCTCAATATGCCAGCAACTTTGGAAAACTCAGCAGTGGCCACAGGACTGGAAAAGGTCAGTTTTCATTCCAACTCCAAAGAAAGGCAATGCCAAAAAATGCTCAAACTGCTGCACAATTGCACTCATCTCACACGCTAGCAAAGTAATGCTCAACATTCTCAAAGCCAGGCTTCAATAGAATGTGAACTGTGAACTTCCAGATGTTGAAGGTGGTTTTAGAAAAGGCAGAGGAACCAGAGATCAAATCCCTAACATCCACTGGATCATCAAAAAAGCAAGAGAGTTCCAGAAAAATATCTACTTATGCTTTACTGACTATGCCAAAGCCTTTGACTGTATGAATCACAACAAACTGTGGGGAATTCTTAAAGAGATGGGAATACCAGACCACTTGACCTGCCTCCTGAGAAATCTGTATGGAGATCACGAAGCAACAGTTAGAAATGGACATGGAACAACAAACTGTTTCCAAATTGGGAAAGGAGTACATCAAGGCTATATATTGTCACCCAGCTTATTTAACTTATATGCAGAGTACATAATGAGAAATGCTGGGCTGGATGAAGCACAAACTGGAATCAAGATTGCTGGGAGAAATATAATTAACCTCAGATAAGCAGATGATACCACCCTTATTGCAGAAAGCAAAGAAGAACTAAAAACCTTCTTGATGAAATTGCAAGAGGAGAGTGAAAACACTGGCTTAAAACTCAACATTCAGAAAACTAAGATCATGGCATCCAGTCACATCACTTCATGGCAAATAGATGAGGAAACAAAAGAAACAGTAAGAGACTTTATTTTCTTGGGCTCCAAAATCACTGCAGATGGTGGCTGCAACAATGAAATTAAAAGATGCTTGCTTCTTGGAAGAAAAGCTATGACCAACCTAGATAGCATATTAAAAAGCAGAGACATTACTTTGCCAACAAAGGTCCATCTAGTCAAAGCTACGGTTTTTCCAGTAGTCATGTATGGATGTGATGGTTGATGTATAAGGCTGAGTGCTGAAGAACTGATGCTTTTGAACTGTGGTGTTGGACAAGACTCTTGAGAGACCCTTGGACTGCCTGGAGATCCAACCAGTCCATCCTAAAAGAAATCAGTCTTGAATGTTCTTTGGATAGACTGATGCTGAAACGCCAATACTTTGGCCACCTGCTGTGAAGAACTGATTCATTGGAAAAGACCCTGATGCTGGGGAAGATTGAAGGCAGGAGGAGAAGGAGACAACAGAAGATGAGATGGTTGGGTGACATCACTGAGTCAATGAACATGGGTTTGAGTAAGCTCCAGGAGTTGGTGATGGGCAGGGAGGCCTGGCATTCTGCAGTCCATGGGGTTGCAAAAAGTCAGATATGACTGAGTAACTGAATTGAACTGAACTGAATGTTTCACTATGTTGTAGATAACCGACATACTCACAATATCCAAATCAAGTGTTGAAAACAATTCGAACCGGCTTGGTTATGTTAATCACTTTGATGTTTGGGTTCCATATAAGTTAAGCGAAAGAAAAAGCTTCTTAGCTATATTTCTGCATGTAGTTCTCTACTGAAATGTAACAAAAAAACCTTTTGTTTCGAAAACAAATTGTTATGGGTGATGAAAAGTGTATATGTAAAAAATGTGGAACAGAAGAAATCAGGGCGCAAGTGAAATGAAACACCACCAACCACACCAAAGGCCAGTCTTCATCCAAAGAAAGTGATACTGTGTATTATGAGCTCCTTCCAGAAAACCAAATGATTAATTCCACCAAATTCTGCTCCCAGTTAGATCAAATGAAAGCAGCAATTGATGAAAAGATTTCAGAATTGGTCAACAGAAAATTCATAATCTTCCATCAGGACAACACAAGACCACATTTTTTGATGACCAGGCAAAAACTGTTACAGCTTGGCTGAGAAGTTCTGACTCATTTGCTTTATTTACCAGATATTGCACCCTTGGATTTTCATTTATTTTGGTCTTTACATAATTCTCTTAATAAGAAAACACTCAAGTCCATGAAAGATTATAAAAGAAGTTTTGGGAAGACGGAGTTATGAAGTTGCCTGCAGAGTGGCAGAGGTAATGGAGCAGAACGGTGAACACATTGTCCAATAAAGTTCTTGATGAAAATGGAGCTGAAAATGGAAACAATGAGACAACAGAGAAACATGTTATACTGGAGAATGAAAGGACTCTAAGGCTCATGATCTTCAGTCTTACTCACCACTGTGGCACCCGAAATCCAGGAGTGTTGATGGATGTGCAGGGCACATAGTTACGTAATAACACCAATGAGGCTGAAGTTCAGACTGTCTGCCTCTTTTTGCTTTCCACTTTGCCTTAACAAATATTAAGAAACATTTGATTCTCCCTCTCACTCCCCAAATAAGATATGCAATTACAAATGTTGTAGATGCTGTGGCTATGCATCTGTCTTCATCTTTATCATCAAACATATCATCACCATCCAATAAATAGTTACTGAGTGTGAAGTATGGGCCAGACTGTGTTCTAGGAGCCATGAATATAAAGACTTTCAAAAGTAAACCCCAATCCTCCATTACATGGAGCTTACTATCCACTGAGGTGAGACAAAAAGTGAATGTAGGTGTCATGGTAAATGGCACAGTGAACAACAGTGAGAAAAGTAAAGCAATCAAAGGGAGAGAGACTTCTCAGGAGGAAGGTTTCAATTTTAAATAAAGCAATCTTGGAAAACCTCACTGAGTGAACATGCAGGGGAAGCATTATCCAAGAAAGAACAAATGCATGTGTCCTGACCTTGGTGAGGAGAAGTGAGGAGGCCTGTGTGGCCACAGCAGTGAGCTGGAGGAGATGATTTCAGAGAGAAAGGGAGTGAGGCAGAAATGCACGCAGCCAAAATGTAAGAGGCCTCTTAGGCATTGTCAGAACTTGGCTTATCCTTTATTAGTGATGGGGCACTTTCAACCTTAGAGGTTTTTGAACAAAGGAGTGATAAGATCTGATTTTTATTTTAACACATTAATAGCACAAAAATTAGCTCAATTTACTGTTAATCTGTTCCTGGCCCTATAAGTGTATTATGTACATCATTTAATTATTATAGTACTCAAACTTATATTATCCCCATTTCATGAATGAAGAAACTAAGTCTCACAAAGGTTGAACATTTCTCTACTAATAAGTAGCATTCTTAGGTGGCAATCTCAGGTATATCTGTGGTCAAACCTTCACTGTTACTCACATGGTTTTATTTCGATCGCTACAGTGATAGTTCACTGGAAAGGTTTTTGTGCTCTTGTCTCCCCATAAAGTTTTTCCCATTATATTCTGTCCACTGATACCATAAATAGATGTGATAAAGAGGTACTCTACTGTGTCATTGTGAAGAGTAGCATTACTTAGATAGCAATTATTACTCATTAGCATTTGGTGAAAACAACCTCTGTGCCATGACTCTCTTAATCTAAACAGTGTATCATAAGTTACATGCCCCTGCAATTGGAGTACCACTGCTAAAGGTGTTTCCTTTTTAAACTCAGTAATGAGACATTTACATTTATTTCTCATTTGCATAGTTATATGAGCTTCTCTCAAGTCTCTTGCCTCTGTTTCTTCCAAATCTCTCCTCTGTCTATATGCTTTCCTCCATATAGGTCGGCTTTCCTGATTTGCATTCCTCCCTATCCCCATAGTCCTCACACAAATGCCAGGCACAGCAGTCCCCTTGTTTGAAAAGACAGTCATTGGAGGATATTTTGGATATTGCTACTCTCTTTATTATCCATACCTCTCTCTTAGCTACAGATCAACCACTAATGTGTGTGGGGCCTAGAACAATAGTACAAATGGAGTCTACTTAAAAGATAGAAATCAAACTATATTTTTAATTTTTAATTTGTTTTTATATTTTCATTCTATGCCTTTATTAACTTGTTCTTCTTAACATTTTTTACAAATTTATTCATTTTTAAATTGGAGGATAATTGCTTTAAAATATTGTATTGGTTTCTGCCATACATGAACATGAATCAGCCATAGGTATACATATTTCCCTTACCTCTCTAACTTTCCTCCCACTTTCCACCCTATTCTAGCCCTCTAGGTTGTCACAGAGCACTGGGTTGAGATTCCTGCATCACAGAGCAAAGTGCTATTAGCTATTTTGTACATGCAATGTAAACTGAAACATATTTTCAATGATTCACTCTCAATTCATCTGTCCTTCCCTGCTATGTTCATAAGTCTGCTCTCTATATCTGCATCACTATTGTGGTCCTACAAAAAGGTTCAACAGTACCATTTTTCTATATTCATATATATGTATTAATACATGAGATATATATTTTTTTAATTTCTGCCTTACTTCACTCTGTATGGAAGGCTCTAGGTTCATTCTCCTTCCCTAGAAAAACTCAAATTTGTTTCTTTATTATGGTTTAATAATATTCCATTGTATACATGTACCACAACTTTTTATCCATCCATGTGTCAATGAACATCTTGGTTGCTTTCATGTCTTAGATATTGTAAATAGTATGGCAATGAACATTGGCTACATGTGTCTTTTAGAATTGTGGTTTTCTGAGGGTATATGCCCAGGAGTGGGATTGCTGGGTCCCAGTCATTTAGTTCAGTCGCTTAGCTGTGTCTGACTATTTGTGAACCCATGGACTGCAGCATGCCAGCCTTCTCTGTCCATCATCAACTCTTGGAGCTTGCTCAAACTCATGTCTACTGAGTTGGTGACACCATCCAACCATCTCATCCTCTATCGTCCCCTTCTCTTCCCGCCTTCAATGTTTCCTAGCATCAGGGTCTTTTCCAATGAGTTAATTCTTCACATCAGGTAGCCAAAGTATTGGAGTTTCAGCTTCAGCATCAGTCCTTCCAATGAATATTCATGACTGATTTCCTTTAAGATGGACTGGTTGGATATCCTTGCAGTCCAAGGGACTCTCAAGAGTCTTCTCCAACACCACAGTTCAAAAGCATCAATTCTTCAGCGCTCAACTTTCTTTATAGTCCAACTCTCACATCCATACATGTCTGCTGGAGAAACCATAGCTTTGACTAGATGGACCTTTGTTGGAAAAGTAATGTTTCTGCTTTTAATATGCTAAGTTGGTCATAGTTTTCTTTCAAGCAGCAAGTATCTTTTAATTTAATGGCTACAGTCATCATCTGCAGTGACTTTGGAGCCCAAAAAAATAAAATCTCTCACTGTTTCCATTGTTTCCCCATCTATTTACCATGAAGTGATGGGACTGGATGCCATTATCTCAGTTTTCTGAATGTTGAGTTTTAAGCCAACTTTTTCACTCCCCTCTTTCACTTTCATCAAGGGGCTTTTTAGTTCTTTGGTTTCTGCCATAGGGTGGTGTCATCTGCTTATCTGAGGTTATTGATATTTCTCCCAGCAATCTTGATTTCAGCTTGAGCTTCATCCAGCCTGGCATTTCACATGATGTACTCTGCTTATAAGTTAAATGAGCAGGGTGACAATATACAGCTTTGACGTACTCCTTTCCTTATTTGAAACCAGTTTGTTGTTCCATGTCCAGTTCTAACTGTTGCTTCTTGGCCTGCATACAGGTTTCTCAAGAGGCAGGTCAGGTGATCTGGTATTTCCATCTCTTCAGTTTGTTGTAATCCAGCAGTCAAATGCTTTGGCATACTCGGTAAAGCAGAGGTAGATGTTTTTCTGGAACTCTCTTGCTCTTTTGATGATCCAGTGGATAGGGTCACATGATAGTTTTATTTCTAGTTTTTTTAAGGAAATCTCCATACTGTTCTCCTCAGTGGCTGTATCAGTTTACATCCTCACAAACAGTACAAGAGGATTCACTTTTCTCACGTCTTCTCAAACTTTTTGTTTGTAAATTTTTTGATGGTGATTCTGATCGGTGTGAAGTAACATCTCATTGTAGTTTTGATCTGCATGTCTCTTATAATAATGATGTTAGGTATTTCTTCATGTGTTTGTTAGCCGTCTGTAAGTCTTCTTTGGAGAAGTGTCTGTTTAGGATTTCTGCCCATTTTTTGATAGAGTAATTAGTTTTTCTGAAATTGAGTTACCTGAGCTATTTATATATTTTGGAGATTAATCCTGTGTCATTTGCTTCATTAGCAATTACCTTTTCCCATTCGGGAGAGTTGTCTTTTCTTCTTGTTCGTCATTTTCTTTTATGTGCAAAATTGTTAAGGTTAATTAGATCCTATTTGTTTATTTTTGTTTTTATTTCCATTATTCTTGGAGATTAGTCATAGAAGATCTTGCTGTCATCTATGTCAAAAAGTGTTCTGCCTATGTTTTCCTATGAGAATTTTACAGCTTTTAGCCTTAAATTAAGTCTTTAAACCATTTTGAGTTTATTTTTTGTGTGATGCTAGCAGGTGTTCTAGTTTCATTCTTTTACATGTAGCTGTCCAGTTTTCCCAGAACCTCATATTGAAGAGGCTGCCTTACCTCCATTGCATATGTGTACCTCCTTCATCAAAGATAAGGTACCCACAGGTGTATGGGTTTATCTCTGGGCTTTCTACCTTTTTCTATTGGTTCATATTTCTGTTTTGTGCCAGAACCATACTGTCTTGATGACTGTAGTTTTGTAGCATAGTCTGAAGTCAGGAAGGTTGATTCCTACAGTTAGGTTTTTCTTTCTCAAGGTTTCTTGGCAATTCAGGGTCTTTTGTGTTTCTATACAAATTATGAATTTTTTTTTGTTGTTCTAGTTCTGTGAAAAATACTACTGGCAGTTTGATAGGCACTGTATTGACTCTATAAATTGCCTTGGGTATTATAGTCATGTTCACAATGTTGATTCTTCCAATCCAAGAACATGGTATATCTTTACATCTGTTTCTGTCATCTGTGATTTCTTACATCAGTGTCTTATAGTATTCTGCATGCAGGTCTTTGGTCTCTTTAGGTAGATTTACTCCTAGGTATTTTGTTATTTTTGTTGCAATGGTAAATAGGACTGCTTCCTTAAGTTCTCTTTATGATTTTTCATCATTATTATATGACTTTACTAAATTAATTAGCTCTAGTAAATTATTGGTGGCATCTTTAGGATTTTCTATGTAAACTATTATGTCATCTGCAAACAGTGAAGGTTTTACTTCTTTTTTTCAATATAGATTTCTTTTA